GAGCTCCGACCCCCGCATAGACTGAGCGACAGAGCAACTCTCTCAGAAGAATGTTTATTTTACGTAAATTCGTTAATAAACACAAATGTTTTACACGTCTTAAGAAAGATAGAAATATAAGCTTTATTTTAAATACATTACATTAGACATATTTAAAGCTCAAGTGAAGATATATATGTTTTTATAGTGGCGTTCAGTAGCTTTTCGGTCATGGAGTGCAGACGCCTACGCACTTGCCAATATGTTGTGTAATTAACAAAGATACGCTAATAAAGCCTAAAATATTACATGCCTCCAGAAAGACAGAGCTATAATCGTTATTGTGAGTGCATCAAAGGAAATATATCATGTTGGAGACCAATGATATAGCAATTTTAATTTAAGTTTCGAGTCCCGCCCGGTCGAGAGAGATGGGGCGACTCTCGCCCCATCTATTGGAGATTCTGTCCACTAAAGACCCAAAGCTACTCAAACCTTCCTAGCATTACGTAAGCAATGAAGTAATATGGTATATTTACTTACTATAATGTGGATGCTGGATGCAGAAAATGAGAAAACATAATTTTACTCTGAAAAAATATCATTTCATAACAAAATAAGATGTAAATATGTAATACTGCCCGAAACGCTTTGCGTAATAGTGGCTTTAGGCATTGTATGTACTAGCTCTATCTATAAAGCCAACAAACTTTGTAAAATCTCTTTATGTATGTACCTTTACCTAAATAAAAATTATTATTATTATAATATTTTTGTATATATCAAAGGAAGTCGATGGTCCAAGCAACAATATCGTGGTGCGACTTATCCAAGATATATTGCTCTCTGGAAAGTGTTTGCTGGCATATCAACCTTCTGTACACTGATCCAGTCGTCGAACTTCTCTGCTCAAATTATCGCAAATTTAATTTATGATGTTAACAAGTAGAATGCGTATTTTTAATCAAATCTAACGATATTAACAAGTAGAATGCGTATTTTTAATCAAATCTAACATAACTAGCCAGAAAACGTTAAAGATTATTTAAAAATACATGGTTGGAAGTTAAATCAACTCCATAGAACAATATTTTTGTTATAGATACTAATCGTTATTTGTTGGTATGCGTTCGCTACTTAAACTATCATGTACTGTATTTATGTAAAATCTCCCTGTTTCTTCAGACATGGAACACGGAACCTTACACGCTTTCTGACTTACTGTTTAATAGAGATTCACAAATAAGCTTATGATTGTATACGTTATCAAAAAGGCAGTGACAAAGTCAATTTTGCATTTTAATCACAGAGATTAGATCTTAGTGAGATAGGAAAGATATTCATATTTTAAAGAAGGATTTTTGAACCATCGCTCTCCCTATCGATAGAAACTAACTTTTTTTTTGTTATTATTAACAAGCTTAGGTATACACAGTAATGTGCTGCTACCCTATTCTATATGAAAGATTACACAGTGTATATCAAAAACTAGCTATAAGTTCATTAAATATTCCCATCTCACAGGATGGTTAGTTATACATGGAATCAGGGGATAAAATACCAGCCTCAATAAAAAAAAATCAACTGTGACTAACAAGAACACCACTTACGGGCTATTCATGCCCGTGCTACCTTTTGGGTGGCTTAATCCTCATCAATCAATCACAGGAAACAAGGGATACATCTCCCGTCACGCAGGGTCCAGTCGCACCTCCACAGATCTCCAGTATCATCTATTGATACTGTTAATGGTTCAAGAGGACTACCACTTACGGGCCTACCTCAAGGTAACAATCAGGTGAGAACATAAAATATAAGGCTGATCTATTAGCCTCCGTTAGCAAAATCCGGGTACAGCATAAGAATATCTTCCAATATTCCTAAGTGTATGAAGTAATTACAGAGTTCAAAGTACCTTATACCATTTGGTCTGAAGTCACTTATAACAGGGCAATCACAGATATAGTGTTGGTGAGTATGTCCCAGCTCTTGTTCACATAGTTTACAATTGGAATATTCACCATTGGGGGCTATTCATTACCTGCAGCCACCTGCGATACATATCGATATCCTAGCCTAATTCTGGCAATTACAATGTCACACTGTCATTGTGACACTAGTGGAAGTTTTATGCTGTCCGTTCATATAATTCTCGATTCTAAACATGTTTACTTAGTTTAGTTCATTAATTATGCACCCCATATATCATCTTGTGGGCGGTAGTGGAAAAGGTTACAGAGGCACATAAACATGTCATAGCTCTTTATACTCTTGCTTTCTGGCTTTTGTGTGTCAGTGACTGCTCTTCTGTCTTCCCTAATTTCCTAAAATATTGCAGCTTTGACAGAAGAGATTGGAATGCCCATATCCCACTCAACTTCAGGCTTATCACATTCAGTTTTAGCTCCCTTGTTTGTGTCATCATGCTGGACAACACCTATATGAGAAGATATCCATACAAATGAGACTTTGAAACTCTTACTGTTTGCAATAATAATGTTGTTTATAATGGAAGTTACAACTACAACCTTTTGAAGATCAATGCTAATTTTATCTAGATAATGTAATAAACGAAAGTTTTCTATGTCAACAGAAAGGCAGAAATATATGCTACACTTTAAATACTTGTCATAAATATAACTGAAGTGAAAGCGAAGATATATGCATTTGATACTGTACAGTTTCTTGATGGCTTGCTCTAAGAGTGTGAAGCCCTTCACACCAGCCTATAAATTGTGTAATTTATTTCCATATATGCTAATTAACATTAAAATCTATATGTCAGAAGGAAGGAAGATGTAGACGTTAATGTGACAACATTTCAAGAAATATCTCTCTCTTTAATAGGCAGCTATCCAAACTCTCTTCTCCTTTCACCAATCAGCCCGGCAGATGTTGTGTCCATCATACATTCTCTAAAAACCAAGGCAGGGAACACCAGTGAAATTCCGTCCATTGTGTACAAGAGAGCCTCCCATGCCCTTGCCCCACCCATAGCACTGCTGTTCAACAAATCTATAGAGTATCACACCTTCCCTGATATCCTCAAAAAAGCAAGAGTAACGCCAGTCCATAAAGGAGGCAATCCGGCGGACATAAACAATTATAGACCAATATCAAATCTACCCATTCTATCAAAAATATTTGAAAAAATTATTTACAAACAGCTCTATTCCTACCTCGTAAAATTCGACATACTCAGCCCCTGCCAGTTTGGCTTCCGGTCCCAAAAGAGCACCAACGATGCAATCATTAGTCTCCTTGACATTATCTACTCAGCCCTTGACAAAAATGAGTTTCCGCTTGGACTCTTCATTGACCTAAGAAAAGCCTTTGATACTGTTAATCACAACTACCTCTTACTTAAACTCCAGCATTATGGAATCCGAGGCCTTGCCCTTGACTACATCCGATCCTATCTTAGTGACAGACACCAATATGTAACCATCAATGATACAACTTCTTCCACTCTACCAATTACCGTTGGAGTGCCACAGGGCAGCATCTTAGGACCTCTTCTATTTCTTATATATATAAACGATCTGCCTAATGTCTCTAATATTCTCAAACCTATATTGTTTGCTGACGATACTACCTTATCTACTCAAACCTCAACCCACATATACTAAATAATGTTGTGAATAATGAATTAAAAAAAGTCCACTTATGGATGTCAACGAACAAACTAACATTGAACATCGAAAAGACTTACTACATCTTATTTGGAAGCAAATCATCAAATGCAATTCAGCTACAGATAGACAACATTAACATCAGTAATAAAAATGATGGCAAGTTTCTTGGCCTATTCCTAGACAAGAGACTCAACTTCAGCACCCACATTCAACACAACTAAGAAAGTCTCTAAGACAGTTGGTATACTCTCCAAAATCAGATATTATGTTCCTAACTCTGCTCTCCTCTCACTATATTATGCACTAATCTACCCCTATCTTAATTATGGTATCTGTGCATGGGGGTCTACCACTGCAAACCACCTTAAGCCCATCATCACACAGCAAAAATCTGCTATCAGAATAATAACTAACTCTGCTTTCAGACAACACTCAGCTCCCTTGTTTAAATCCCTAAACTTGCTAAATATTAACTCCCTCCACACATTCTCTTGTGTCAACTACATTTACAAAACCCTGTTCTTAAATGCAAACCATGCTCTGAAACTCTCCCTGGACAGATGTAATAGGACCCATTATCACCACACCAGAAATAAATATCTCTTTGATATCCCCAGGGTCAAACTTAATCTGTGTAAACACTCTATGCAAATTAAGGGACCTAGTGTATGGAACTCACTCCCTAGTGAATTGAAAAACTGTAAAACTTTTGCCTTATTTAAAAGCAAAACCAAAAAGTACCTAACTTCATCTTCTTAGTTTCCTACACTGAGCTTTAAATTTGCTCTGTACCTAGTGTTACCCAATCTCCTAATTTTTATGTAATATCAAACAACCTTATCATTGTGTTCATTGCTGTCTTCTTTTATGTGCTAGCCATATGCTGTATTGTGACTACCAATTTTTGTCAACTACCATTCAAGCTGTCATTGCAATCAATCTTATATTGTTTCTGCTGTATTGTGCCTACCAATTTTTGTCAACTACCATTCAAGCTGTCATTGCAATCAATCTTAGCTACCTATGTGCTTTAATATACTGTACCTACAATTTTCTCTCATCTTCTTTTTTTCATTTCATGTAACTTATCATTTTTTTGTCTATAAATTTTGCAAGTATTTACCTCCTTAAAATTTTCTTAGATTAAGGACCTGCCCGAAACGCTGCGCGTGCTAGTGGCTTTACAAGACTGTAATTACCACATTTGTATCCTCACATTCCTTATGTACATTCTTGTATATGCATAAATAAATAAATAAAGTGCATCACACTGGTTACATGGGGGGACACTCGTTTTGTATGACGTCCGTTTCACATGACGAACATGGAACGGATTAAATTCGTTATGCGAGGTACCACTGTATTTGTTTATGGTGAAAAAACAAATGATTTTTGTTTATTTATTAACCACATTGTATTTCAAACTAATCAATGTGGAATAGATGTGTTAACCCAGGGGGCTCTCACATCTAAATGCACATCTAGTTGACACTTAAAACTACACTTAAAAACTTAGACTACAAAGGATTTTGCTCAAAGACCTGGCCACCACACCCACCATGAGAATAATGAATTAAATGTTTTCAGCATTCTGTGGGTGAAGATCTTTTCTTGATTACAATTGCATATGTTTTACATTAATGGTACTAATTTTAATTTTAGCATAAAATTTTTATAATAACAAAATGTATAGAGTATTTAATCTTCCTCCTTTCCTGTATGAAGTACCATAGGTTAAATTATATTTAGCATTGCTTCTTGCCCCACTCATTCATGTTTTTGTTTCTTGGGGGAGCCCTCCCCCTTGTGGCTCCCTGAAGCTACAATGCTGATATAATGCCAAACTAATAGGTGCCATCAGTTGCAGAGTTCTTTTAGATTTACCGGGACTATGAGCCAGAACCTGGCCCCCCCCCCTCTAAAGAAGTGCAGAGAGCAGTAGCACTAGGATAAAAAAAATTAATTTTAATCATGTCCGCTATCACCAAGGAAGCACCTAGAAAATTAGCGAAACAAAATAGACTACTGCTGGTTAGAAGGAAGATCAATACCTCAAAATTGCTTCAAGAACTCCCACAACAATGTAAAAATTCATGAAAATATATCCAGCTTATTCACCCCACCCTCGCACCTCATTTGGGGGAAGAGGGAGGCAGACTGGGTAAGCCAGCTGCTCCACCCTCAGTCCTTGCTGACAGCAGTTAAGTGTCCTGGCTGTCCACTCTGGCTCTAGTTTCCTGCTTGAGCTAAGTAGTGGATTTTTACCTTTGTGGCTGTTCAAAAACACGTTTGTGCAGTGTGAACCAGGAGGATAAGGCATTTGGAGCTGCATGTGCACAGGATTTTCTTACCTGTGTGCTTCCTAGTGCCTTCGCTGAAGAGCATGATTCATACTCTTGGATTCCAGTGTTGTGATTCCAGTGCCTGGGCTTCCTGTAGGGCTTCCTGTAGAGCCATTCCCTACAGACCCTGGATATTCCCTGTGTGTCCATTGGATTCCCCCGCCAAACTCACTCTTGCCTTATGTGAGTTTGAATAGAGTTGAGTATCGTTGATGCCACGTGGCGATGCTCATTCCTTCTTCCTCCGCCATACTGCCTGCTGGGTCAGTGTCACCTTCGACCCTGAATTGTATGGGACTCGTTGTCTGCATTTTACTCGCCTTACAAACCCTCCTGATGACATTTGAGGTTTTCAGGCAGGGATCGCTGAGCACTGGAGGTTTTCTGTATTGCAGCAGCCTAGGTTGTGTGTCTGGTTGGATGCTCAGGAGCTGCCCTGGTTGGTGTTTAAGGACTCAGATTTGGACATTTGAAGGACTTCTGCTTCAGTGGACTCTAGGGTTGATCTGGTTTCTCAGGTTTCTTCTTCCAGGGTTCCTGTTTCTTAGCTCATCTGCAGTGTTATAAAGTTGAGCCAGCCTGTGGTCTACCCTCATTCCCTTATGTTCATAAATTTGCCACTCTCTCGCTGTGTTTGCCAATATGTCTTGGACCAATATTCAGGCATTGGGGTTTTGGCGGTCGAACAGGGTCCTGGCAGCCAGGTATGTTGTGAATGTTCCTGGTCCTCATCGACCTTGTGTGGCCTTGGGTTGTGTGTCGGCCTGTGGTTTCCTCTTTATTATGATATCTGTGGCACTCCCTCCTCGCTTTTAAGTCCCCTTCTTTTCCTTCTCTGTGGATAGGTAGCTTCAGGAGCCATAAGGGGTCTCCCCCCCTTCTCCCAGAAAACCAGTCTTGAGGAGGGGAGGGAGGTGGGCAAATGACCTAGCAATAGTTTCATGAATTTTCAATTTTTACGTTCTTGGGTGGGGGTGAGGGGGGGGGGGGAGTTCTCTTAGCAATTTTGAGGTGTCGATCTTCTAACCAGCAATGGTCTGTCTGTTTTGTTTCACTGACTTTCTGGGTGCATCCCTGGTGGTAGTGAACATGAATCAAATTCACAAACAATTTTATCATGGTACAACTGCTCTGTACCTCTTAAGAGGGGAGCCAGATTCTGATTCATGGTCCCTGGCAGGTCTATAAGAACTCCGCGACTGATGGAACCTAGTAGTTTGACACTTTACCAGCATTCAGGAAGCAACTAGGGATCACCAAGAAATTGGTGTTTCATTACATTCTATGTTTTTTTTTATGTGAATTAAAGTGAATATTTTCTCTTGTTATTTCATCATTATTCCTATTTGCCATTCTCTAAGCTGATTCACTAGGCATACACTTAACTGATTCATCAGGTGAGGTGCCTTTATTTACTCTCCCATAATGCATTTGCAATGTGCACAATTCATAATCAATTATCTCATCAACATGTCCTGTAAAATCATACACTTTAATCACCAAATTCTTCACATTTGTCCATGGTCTGTACCATTTGCCTCAATATAAAGTCTTCTATCACCTCTACAGTGACTTCTTCACCTCACATATTGATCTTTAATCGTCATTCTTAGTGTAATCTTAAGTACTTATAAAAAACATGCTAAATTAATTTGGAATGTTTCCAAGTAAATATTTATTCTTACATATTAGTGTCAGTGCAGCCATGTACTTTTATAATGATACCATTTACTTGTGATTACAGTACTTTGTACATGTAATATAAAATGACAGGAATATATTTGAGCATAATAGATGATTCTGTTATTAAAAATACATTATATATGTTTTCCAACATTCACAATGGTCATTACATTTACAGTAATACATATTACTTTAGTTTAAAAAATTTCTTAAAGATGCTGCTGCAATATTTAAAGAATTATTAATGAATAGATGAACATAAATACTAGTATTTAATGTAATGAATAAGCAATAACACCCATAATCCACAATAGAGTGCATAGCATATATTGACATATACTGTACACTCAATTGACATGCTTATTCACACTCAACATGCTTAAACCACAGAAATAAATTTTAGCAAATTCATTATAAGACATTCTTACTATTAACCACTGTACTGCGCCTTAAGGCACCCAATTGGGGGGTCCGTAAAGCGCCATATGGCACATTTAGGTATAGAAGTAATTCAAAACTCCTGCGGGTACACGGGATGCACATTCTGTTCTAAACAGACGCCATCTTAAAAAAAAAATCGGCATCCATGCTGGCTGAAGAGCGACCAAGGCTGGCGTATCTAGGAGCAGCGCACAGCACCGCTGTACAGCTAGGGACCAGAGCATCACTTAGTAATGATGAATAAAATAGGTAGCTAAAAACATTTTGCATTGATAGTGTCATAAATGATCCTGTGACAAAGACTGTGTACAACGTTGAGATATCAGTGAACACAATGCCAGTTATGATATTCACAGCATGAGGTACAAACACAGCACCTAGCAATTGTTTCCTGTATCTATGCATCATGAAATGACCTTATGTTCCTTCATAATATAACCATGTTGAAATAAATTCATATTCAGGATATTGTAATAGGACTGTGATAATAACAACAGTTTTGTTGCTAGTCATAGCGAGATGTGTAGAATATTGGAGGCATTGTCTTGCATCATCTGCTTGTGGCTCCATGCTGTGTTTTGATTTCATCACCATACTCAACAGAACTGCTTATTAGTATGTTATGGTGCATATAAATGTTGATACTGATATATAACATGTGTATATAGCGTAATAACATCAAGAACACTGTTTGATTGATCTAAGAATATAATATACTGTACTACAATCCCCCATATTTTTGAGAATACCGATGTTCCACACATTTAACTACATATCCACATATTACATGTTATTGAATATTATTATTGCAAAAAAAATCTAGATATAAAAACTATTCACAGACACTGAAATAATTATGTAAAAATGTATTTGGGGCAGCTCCTGCCACACTCAGCTGTCGGCCGCTAGGCTGACCTTGGATTGTTGTTTTGTGTACATAAACTCTCAACACATGATCTTTGTGGTTTATTATGGTGCACAAAAATGTAGATAGTTATATACAATGTGTGTATATAGTGTAATAACAGCAAAACACTGGTTTTTTATCTTTAGATTATAATATACATGTTACCATATATGAGCTCCATAATTTTGAGCATAGCAATGTTCCACACATTGAACTATATAAATTCCACAAATTTTTGAATACTTTACACACTTTTGAATAATATTACAGCAAAAAAACAGAAAAGAAATGAATGAGAGACATTGAAATACAGTAATTATGGAAAATTACATTCTCGGCAACTGCTGCCCCACAGGGTGGCGGAGTTGAGTGTCCCCGAGCGCCTCATCACTCAGTGACCATAAATTGCTCAACTTCTCAGCTCTATCATGCCTAAAGTATGTCACATACAATATATATTATATTAGTTTCCTGTGATCAGAAACTAAATTTTAAAAATATATAAGAAAATAATTTTTTGAAAATAATTTATTTTCAGCGCAACACAGACGGGCGTGTCATATTATAATGTAGCGCAGTGCAGTGGTTAATACACAAACACCACCTAAATACCAATAACCACAAATCTTGTTGATTAACAATTACATTTTCCATATAAATCTTGACTTGTACTGCTGTATCTTGTAGTGTGATAGAGAACATTATTCTATAAATGAATTCAAATCATCAGAAAATCTGTAAGAATTTTTGTAGCAGCTTTTGTTATAATCCTGCCACAGTGTTGTTGTTCTCTCTTCACTGCCATGTCTCTTGTCTCTATTTGTTACAACTCTCTCCTCTCTTCACTGAAACTACTCTTCTTCTCTCTCCATTGTTACAATTCTCTTCTCTCATATTACTGCTCTCTCCATTGTCATGACCCTTCTGCTTTCTTCTCTACATCTACTCTTTCTTCCCCTTTCTCTTTGTCTGCTCTTTCTGAGGACCTGTGTATAAAGAATTAATCATGTTCAAAACATTAACATCGTGCAAATATCTGTGATTATTAAAACTTGGTGATAAAATTATACAGTAAATGATGAATAAAAGACAGAAGATACCTAAATGAATATTTAACACCAATGTTCATACAATAAAAGTTGTTGAACATAACTGATCTTGTGATGATGTAACAGATGATACAGTAACTGATAATGATTTGAGGGATATATAATTTAAAATTTGTGAAAAGTTAGGAGAAATATTAACAAATTAGGGCCTTAATAGAGGTGTTGGGAGTACATTGAGTATAATAAGTTCAGACTTGTGTATCAGCAGATTATTGTAAGGAAAGGGAAGGAAGAAAAGGTAATAATAGTGTATCCTTGCTTAAATAATCTACATGGGAGGCTAATTTGTTCCATAAGGGATTTTGTTCCATTTGTCAGACTCCAGGCAACATATTCCCCTCAGGAAGAAAATCAGTGGTCTTACAACCACTATAATGCATATAAATGTTTGTGACTTACCTTACCAGGATTGTCCTGGTAAGGACAAACGATTGATTGACCTTACCAATCCCAGGAAAGGGATTGTAGTGAAATATCTTCATAATAACCCTGAAGCACATTTAGGCAAGTACAAATCCATCATAACACACTTTTTCTTCACATTTATATTAATAAAACAAATCACAGAAAATAGTTATTATATATAACATTCTAACATGCATATGATAGAGCAATCATTGGCAAACAATTCCATATCAAAGTCATAATTATGTGACAATTACAGACGAGTCACAATAACGTCGCTGAAGACATGATGACCAAACCCCACACATCAGAAAATAGAGAAATGATGATGTTTTGGTCCATCCTGGACCATTGTCAAGTCATGTGAATTTTTATCACACAATAAAGGTCCAGAACGAACCGAAACATCATCATTTCTTTATTTTCTGATGTGTGGTTTAGTCAATACAAGGTATATGACAATTATTGATGGGAACAAACATTATGTAATGTCCATGATTTATACAAACTCAACCAGTTTCAATGTAAATGTTCACAAAAACTGTACATTCTTCATTTTGACTAAGGCATATGACAGAGCAATAATTTGCAAACAATTTGGTATCAGAATTACATATATACAATCATTATAGAAACCAAACTAGAAAAATGATAATATTTTCTCTGTAAACTGGTGAGGGCGAAGGGAGGGAGGGACTACAACCCTCCCTCACTCCCCAAGCTTACTAATCAGCTGACTGCTGTTTTGTCATTACAAAGGAAATCAGCTTACACTACACACACATTTGTCATCAATTTACACTACAATTTAAATATATACCAACTTTTTACTACAATGTTCAGAATTATGATTGCTCAAGTAAGACATTTTATTAATACAAAAAAACAGCAGTGAATGTGATGAAATGACTCTTTCTGGTAAAGCTCTGGTGAGATAGCTTCAGGGAGCCACTAAGGGGCTCCTCCAGAAAAATATACTGCATAAAAATGCTTCGAAGCAACAATTGAAAGATGTTATTGTCACTTTTTGCATTATTTGTACTGTAAGTTATCTTTTCAAGGGGAGTCATCTGGTGGATACCTGTAGCCATCTCACTGATATTGCTCCATACTACAAGTCATATCAGCCATAGGAGATGTGTTTGGCCTACAAAGGACTAGAACCAGAACCTGGCTCCCTCACGAGGTACAGAGAGCAAATTATATTCTGCCATTTCTCCAGAAAAATATCCAGAAAGCCAGTGAAGCTTTACAGACAACTGCTGGATTCACAAAACCTAAAGTCTCGAAACTGATGAATAACTCCCTTGTAAGGGCACGAGCTTCTAAGCCAGCCCATACTCATAAAAAAAGGCCAAAAATTATTCCATGCACACATCAAGCCCCCCATTACCCAAGACAAATTAATCGAGGCTTACAATAATGAGCCAACCGAAGGCAAAAACCTTTTTCATTTCCACTGCATACCCCTGCAGTAAGCCTAGCAAGGGCCTAAATGACCCAGGCACCACCAACAATGACACAGTTTAGAGTAATGAAGAGATCAGAGGGAAATGCACTTGTGACATGATTAGAGAACTACAAGAGGGTCAGAAAGTTTTGATGAAACAGTTTATGGACTTTCAACAATCATTAACTAACAAATGAGTAGGCATGATTGCTGAGGTAAACCAGGTGATCCCGGGAGGTAATCCCTCACTCGGGGAAAATATTCTGAATGCAGGCAGAGTTGAAGAAAGTGGAGGTGAAGATCTGTCAGGAGCAGCAGAAGCCTTGGATAGAAAAAACATAGAAACAACCTCATCATAAGGAACCTAGCAAAAGTAGAGGATAAGATTGACCAGGAAATCATTGAGGAAATGATAGTGAAACTGGTAGGAAGTGAGGAAGATCTTAATCTGTCCGACGAGGAGAGATTATAAGCCCAAAGCGAGTGTAGTACGCATAACCATGGTAAGCTTTGAACACAGAGGGAAGATACTAACCTGTGTGCATAGCCTAAAAGATCTTGACAGGTATAACCATGTCTATATCTCCCCAGACCACATAGTTGAACACTAATTAGCTCCTACACTAATGCCAGAAGCCTGGTGAATAAATCTGATGGATTGTGTGCATATTCTGAGGCCAAGACTCCAAACATCATTGGCATAAGTGAAACATGGGGATGAGAGGACATTACTGAAGGGGAATTCCTCCTCCTAGGGTATCATCCAATGTTCAGAAAGGACAGAACAACATAAGCAGGTGGTGTACTGCTTTATGTGAAAGAGGACCTGAATGCAACCACCAACGAGGAACTGAACATCATGGAATCCTATAAACATATTGGAAATAAAAATAATCCGTTCCACCACGGAAAAACATCAATATGATATTCAATTTATTAAATAATGGAGCATCCTACCTGACATACACTGAACAAACTGTTATGACATTTGTCCATTTTTCAAATTTGTAAAATTGTTTTTCATTTTTTTATAGCAAAAGGTTTGTTCAGTGCTTGTCAGGTAGGCTGCTCCATGTTTCTTACCAAAAAAAAAAAAAAAAAAATTTTTGATTGACAATTGAGAGGCGGGATTAAAGAGCCAAAGCTCAACCCCCGCAAGCACAACTAGATGAGGACAACTATGTGAGTACAGAGAATCCAATGTATATGGAAAGGCTAAGCCAGGCACTGCAAGACGGCCAAGAAATGAGTGACCACGACCACAGAAAACGGGGCCATGACCCACCGTGTAACAAATAACACAAGACGAACAAGGAAGGCCTCAGGAAGAAGCACGCAAGGGTCCAACAAGACGCCACAACCAATCCCCAACACGCATCCTCAGTATCAAAACTGCAGCAAAATGTCACCTCATAACACCCCGATACAGTGTAACATATACCTCAAAACATTTATCACCACCATTGTACCTCGTAACATAGTGGAGGTGGGGTCCATTCATGGACTCAAGCATGGGTTGGACATGTATATGAGTGGGACTGGGTGGGTATAAATAGGAGCTGCCTCATATGGGCCAATAGGCCCTTTGCAGTCACCTTTGTTCTTCTGTTCTTATGTTTGCATCCAAAAACCACGAACCAGCGCCTGGCCGAAAAAGATGCCAGACCGCATAAACACACCTGCAGAGCATAGGCACGAATGTGTCACGACACATCGTAGCCGAGAAGAGTCCGGGGGCAATGCCAGTGGAATAATATCAGAGCCGCACATGCAGGAGAAGAGTAGGGTAGAGGCCTCCCCCATAGAGGATCCTCACCATCTGTGGGTTTGGGGTCTGGGCAAGTGCTTCGATGATCTTGAGACTCTTGCGGTCTCGGGGAATTCCCCTTCCGGATTAGTGACAGACATTTGAAGAAAAAATCAATCAAAGACATTGAAATAATTAGGTAATAATATCTTTGTGACAACTTCTGCCTGACAGCTGGGGCGAAGCAGACCGCCTCCGATGCTTGCTCTGTCAATGCCTCTTTTTTGCTATTCTTCCCCACCTTATTGCGGCCAAAATATGCCACTTACAACTTTTTTATTATTTTTTCCGTGAGCAGGGAACACAAATGAACACTTTTATAAAACAAAATTTATTTATTTTTTGTTGTGTCTTTGGGTGTTGAAAGCTAAATAGCCCAGAGCAGCTTAGGGGTTAAATTCCAATGTTTTACAAATATTAATGCAGTCATGTTTTTGTTATCATTGGAAAGAACAAATAAAGTTCTGTAATCTGTACAGACAAAATTTCTAATTTCTGTATATTACAGTAACTAATAATTAAAAAAATCATGAATCTGGAATTTTATTTTTACAAAACTAGACATACAAAAACTCTGTCGCTACTGCTCCTGCTTGGCCGAAAGAGAGGTTGATGTATGTGGTTGCCAGGGTGGATACGAAAGTGTAGTCCCACGTCAACTGTCTACCACCCTTCTGTTGGCTCCCTCAAGCCTGAAGCTAGCTTACTGATTAAGTGCCATACTACTTGGAGTCATCAGTTGCAGAGTTCTTGTTGCGTACTGGAGCATCTTGCCATCGACCAGGGAAGTACCCAGAAAGGTAGGCGAATCAAAACAGACTACTGCATGTTGAAAATTGAGACCAAAGCCCTCAAAATATGAAAAGAACTCCCCCTATAAGAAAACAAACAAAAGTTCGTCTATCCAGCCCCCCCCCCCCCCCACCTCCCTAGTTAGCTCCACCTCTCCTCTCGTTGAGGGGAAGGGGGAGCCAGTCTAGCCGAGCCGGGCCACCACTGGTCAGTTCTTGATTGATCTTTGTGCCCGGTGGTCAATGGTGTGCTCTGGCCATGGTTTTCTGTTTTGGTGGGATTTTGCTTTTTCAAGGTGTTCCTACATGAGAAAGTACGTTGGCCAGGAGTTTAAGACTACAATTATTTATTATGAGAATGTAATATAGGCTTCCAGTATGTTGTAAATCAGAGTAAAAATTAAAGATCTTTATTTGCCACCTAGACTCAGGAAGATGAAAAATCAGCCAATTTGAAATAAAAGCTAACTTCTAATATGATCTATTTTGAGCTGAAGCATTTAACAAGTTTAATTAGCACTTACCCCACACATTGTTGTGAAGCTTCTGACCCAAGTAAACAAAAAGCAGATTTGGCAGAAGAAGGGCAGCTAAGAAAAGTGTTCTTCCAGTAAAGTCCAGCACTTCAAACACTGGATACACCCAGATGCCACCAGCATATGCAATATAACAAATCCTGCCAAAAAAATAAAATGTTGATCCCAGCACACTAGTATGAAAATAATATGTATAAATATTTTAAAGTGGATTAATACATTATTATTTCTAACCTAGATACTATCTTTAAAGCACATTTAATTAATTACATATCTTTCATCACGTTGGAAAAACCAGCGTTGAATGTAATGAAACGCCATTTTCTGGGTGAGCCCCCACGGCTCCCTGGAGCTTATCAGGCTAATGTATGTTATATTAGGGGGGACCAGTGCCAGAACCTGGCAGCAGAATCCTCTGCACCGGAAGAGCCGGAAGCTCCCCAACCCGACCTGCAGAGGCCCTTGCCAACAAAATATGCCCTATGAAAACCAAACTTGAACCGAAGGAGCTACCACAAACTGAGGAAAAGAAAGCACCCTGATCAAGGACCAGGACGGCTCAGGCGACGCATGAACAGGCCGGAGGTGAAACAAAACATGAGAAAGCGTACAGAATGGGGCAGATGTGACGTCCACCCCGAACGCAAGCCGGAGCGGCTCCGCCAGCGCCGCACAAAATGAGGCGACAGTAAGAAACATCAAATAACTGTAGTCCTGAAAACCCAAGAAAGGACAAGACAACCTATGAAGAGCAAGAAAAAGGTGCATAGAAACACCAAGAACGTCATAGTGTCGCCAAGACGAAGCTCGCAGGTGGGACACCATCAACGAAACCACCTGATCACCATAGAGATGGTGATACCCGCGTCAAAATACCAGAAGCGAAGAGCCGAGGAGAAGGCCGAACCAGTCACATACAGGACCAGTCCAACCTGCCGAAAGAGGCGGAGCCGTGGGAAAACGCCCCGGGTTCGGACACCTGTCAAGCAGTGTCTGGAAATAAAGCTGGGCTGACCACCAAAGGACCATGAGGACTATTCTCCTTGGGAATGGACTCCAACCGAGTCAGAACCTGAAGCAACAGCTGGACCGGGAAAAAAGGAACAGGTACCCCCACCTCGACCAGTCCTGCCGAAAGGCATCCACCGTGAACGCCTCGCAGGTGGGTAAGGGTGCCCCATAGAATGGGCGACGCCTAGACCATGCCGACACGAAGATGTCCATGGCCAGGAGTCCATATGTTCGGCAGAGCCAACGAAATGAGTCGGGGACGACTGGCCAATCCGCAAACAGAGGAATGAACCGAGACAGGCTGTCCGCCAGTACATAGAACACACTTTGGACATGAACCTCACAGTTAGTCAAACCCCGAGAATCCAGCAAACAGGCTACACGAAGGGACCAACCCCAAAGGTCAAGCACCTAAGAGAAACCCTGTGGTTCCGGCAAAGAACCGCCAGAGAACAGCCCGAATGGAGCTGGATGGTAAAGCACCCCCCTGACCCCCCCTGGGGGGGGGGGGTCAGGTGTCCAGGTCAGGGACACCTACGACCTGGGGTCTGGTGGGTCTTGTTCCCCACTTGTGCTCCTATTACTCGTCCATTCTTTAGTGAGATTTGGGATCAGGTGGCGGCCGTGTTGCATGATCAGTCCTCCTTATTGCAATGGGCCAGGCTGGTTGCCCAGTTGGAGGCCCCAGAGTTTCCCCACTTGGGTTTTTGGGACTCGGTTTGTGGGTGTTTGTTGTTTAGGCCTTGGTTCAGTCTGTCTCTCTTCTATCTTCCCAGTGGGCATGGTTTGCCCTGCTCCTGCTTCCGGCTCCCAAATCCTCCCAAAGTGCATTTAAATTTCTAAAGAACAATTTAATTTTTAAAAATTCAATTGCTGTAACTCGTAGGGCTATCAAATAAGTGACATACAGGTTCTCTGCCAAGGTAAACATAAAGATTTTGAATTTGAATTTCTTCATTTACTGTATTAGGATATTAGTCTATACTTTTTGCTATAAGAAGCATAATTAATGTACTTAAAAAGAGAATGATACATACCAAGAAAGGTAGAGAAAATAAGCAGCAAGTATTGGCACATAAAGTCTCCATCCCTTCTGGTAAAAGTGGTATACTATGTACAGCTCCAGGATGGTTCCAACCACTGGCAAAGTATGCATTATGTGGTTCAACCAAGATGGAAACCATGCATCAAGTGAAGCTGGGAAGATCAGCTCACGGTCAAATGCATACAAAGCCCAGAAGATGAATGACACAAACTGTCAAAGAGAATGATAATAAAATGATTCAGTATCCACTCAATTTAGCGACCTATATATGGGGCTGTACCCAGGTTGTTAAATCCGAAGGTCTGCTAAATCTGGAAGTTTTAAAATGTCAGTAACTGTTTAGTCATATTTGGGAGAGCAACAGGATGGATGATGAGTGGGCTGGCTGGATGGTTAACTGGCTGGCAGGTGGACTTGGGTGGGTTTGGGAAGGTGGGTGAGTTCGGGCGGGCTTGGGTGGGTACGAGTGGGTTTTTGGGCGGGTGGGCAGGCTTGGGTGGGTACGAGTGGATTTTTGGGCGGGTGGGCAGGTTTGAGTGGATTTGGCTGTGTGGGCGATCTTGGGTTGGTTTGAGCAGGTAAGCAGGCTTAGATGGGTTCGGGCGGGTGGGCAGGCTAAGATGGGTTCGGGTGGGTGGGTATTCCTGGGTGATTTCAGGCAAGTAGGCAGGCTTGAGTGGGTTCGGGCAGGCTTGGGTGAGTTTGGGCGGGTAGGCAGGCAGGCTTAGGTGGGTTCAGGCAGTTGGATGGTCTTTTTTTTGGTGGTCTTGGTTGGGTTTAGGCAGGTGGGTGGGAGTTCTTGGGTGGGTTTCGTTCTTGGGTGGGTGGGCATTCTTGGGTGGGTTCTGGTTGGGTGGGTGGGCATTCTTGGGTGGGTGGGTTTGGGCGAGTGGGCGGGCTTGGGTGGCAGGCGGACTATCATAGACTGGCTGTGGTCGCACCACATGCCCACAGCACCCCCAAACCGGATACAGCCTACCCCATCCTCACCATCACCATGCAATACCCTTCCAGATATATCCCCCCCCCCCTCCAGACATGTGTAGACGGTCAGTACGGTATTAATACGGTTCAGATTTTCGACTATCTTCCTACCAGATGGTGGCCTCGGAGGTAGACTGCCCTGACTGACTAACAGCCCTGACTGACTAACAGCACTGACTGACTGACTGCACTGCCTGACTGGCTGACTGACTGTCTACCCTGACTGAGTCCACTGACGGACTGCACTGACTGACTGATTTGACTGACTTGACTGACTGACTGACCCAACCTCACTGACTGACTGACTGCACTGGCTGTCTGACTGACTGCATTGACCTGAATGACTCACTCATTCACTCACTGCCCACCCTGACTGACTGACTTGCACGGCAAGCGTACAGGCATATTGGAGACTGGGAGGACTAGTATCATCAACCCAAACTGAGCTGTTTGCCATACAACAGGCATTCGCATATGTGACTGCACAAAACACTTAAAATGCAATCATACACACAGACTCAAAAGCTGGACTTCAAATATTAGGACAAAAACAGTGGAAAGTTAACATGGAAATAATTATCACCATTTTGTATTTTAGATCAGTCGCTAAAGGCAAAGGACTCAACATAACACTAAACTGGATCCCATCCCATGTTGGAATCCCATTAAATGAGAAAGCCGATGAAATTGCTAAATTGGCAACTCGTCACCCAGTGATACATAAAACAATTCAACCCAGCCTAAAGAACATAAAAAAACATCATCACCAAAAAACTCTCACCTCAACACAGCCTACCTACACCAGAGAATAGCTGAAGGTTCGCCCTCTGCAATATGGTATCTTCAGGCAACCAAATTAGAAAGGTTCAATATCCCAAAAGGAATCCACAGGGAAATAGTAGTTAGGTTATATAGACTATGTCTAGGTTACAGATGCTACTGGGAGATTGGTGAACCTCGACAGAGAGAGTGCATCTTCTGCCAAACTGTCACAGAAAAGCCATTACTTCACTATCTTCTGTAATGTGAAGCAACAAATGACCTTAGAAGAGCTTTAAGAGTCCTTGATTCTTGCAGTAACAACCCTGAAGTCATCAACACAGCCACTCTCCTGGTCGAAAAAGGTGTCCAGCAGCTGGACACCCTCATAAAGACTGTCAAGCAGTATCCTCCCCCGCGATAGCAGCTTGACGATTAAATGCAACCTCAGAATACTGAAAAGAATTACTGAACAAAAAATTGTACCACTTACTGGCTATTCATGCCCGTGCCACCTCTTGGGTGGCTTAATCTTGATCAATCAAGCAATCAACTGACTGACTGACTGACAGACCGACCAACCTTGCCCACCAGTGAGAAGACACTGGTGGGCTACTCATCGGTGCTGTATCACTTGTATCTGACCCTTGTGTTAGGTCCTTATTGTGTCTAGCTTCATCAATATCATGACCCTTATGTTCTTCAAACAATAAGGTCTGAATTTCATCGACAGAGAGTGATCTTTCAACACCACATCCGACAGAGGTTTGGGAACCAGAGGCACGTGCACCACCCATGGTTGCTCACTCAGAACTGACCCAGCCAGCAGCCCTAGGGGCATTCTGGAAATTTTTTCCACGATGGCTGCCTCTCGCTGGAGATCCCAGGAGTTCATTTCATACCCAACCTACCACACATGTTTTGAATGGTACGAACTCTTAAATTCGTGTTTTCTCGGCCTGAGCTTTTTCCGAAACGAATATTGTTGGCCAGTGCAGTCCAGTGGTTAAACATGCCAAACTAGAAGATAAAAGATAAAGGGGCAATATGATTACAGTGGCACCTCGACATACGATTGCCCCTACTTATGATAATTTCGAGTTACAATGTAAATTTCATCAAAAAATCCGACTCGACATCTGATGGTGTCGTCGACTTCCTATATTTGTTGGTACACGTTCGGATCGACCGAGCACGTGGTTCCCGGTTACGCGGCCGACCTCCCACAGTTTACTACAGCTGCTCGCCTAGTGACAATCGCGCCTATAAGAAATTCTGCTTTTGTGGTGATTTTTTGCATTTTGAACATTAAAGTAATTATTATATATCACACCATGGGTCCCAGGAAAATCAGTGGTAAGGCTCAACATATGAAAACACATGTAAGGTTGACCATAGAGCAGAAACAAGAGTACAGAATGTCTCTTCCTCAACAATTAAGAAAATGTGTGCAGTATGGGAAGAATTGCAAACCTTTGCTGAAACGACTCACCCAAATCAAGCTGCAGTAGGTCATTGCCTTAACCTATTCAATGACACTGTGATGCATCATTACAGACCAATGTTAAAACGAAGGGAAAAACAAATGTCTCTTGACAAATTTGTAGTGAGACAAACAAGCACTGAACCACAACCAGGTCCCAGTGGTATTCAGGCAAAACGTAGGAGAGAGAGTACCACCAGAGATAACATCACTGCCTGATGTGATAATGGAAGGGGACTCCCCTTCCAAACAGTAACAACTCTCCTCCTCCCCCCTCATCACCATCTTCCATACGCCATCAAGAGCCCTCCATAAAGGTAAGAGAAACTTTGGTTCTGTATTGTAGTTAGAAAAAACATTGTATTCAGTATAAAATGTATTTGTCTGTTAATATTTTGGAGGGTGGGGAACGGATTAATTCAATTCCCTTTATTTCTTATGGGAAAAATCGCTCCGACTTACGATCCGTCTCTGGGAACGGATTAGCATCGTAAGTAAGGTCCCATTGTACTACATTCAAAATAGTAACAGGAATCGATAAAATTGATAGCGAAGAATTCCCGAGACCTGGAACTTCAAAAACAAGAGGTCATAGATTTAAACTAAGCAAAGCTGCTGAAGAAATATAAGAAAATTCACTTTCACGCACAGAGTGGTAGTTAGCTGGAACAAGTTAGGTGAGATGGTGGTGGAGACCAAAACTGTTAATAGTTTCAAAGGGTTATATAACAAAGAGTGCTGGGGACAAAAGACAGGACACCATGAGCGTAGCTCTCATTCTGTAACTACACTACACATAACTACTCTACTACCTCTTCCACCACCTTTTCCACCACATCTACTGAACCACCTCTTCCATCACACCTACTGCACCACCTCTTCCACCACACCTCTTCCACCACCACCTTCACATACATAAAATAAGCAATTAAAATATTAAATTTAATTTCTCTATTTTCTTGTAAGTACAGTATATAATAGAAACATTCATATGCGAATATAAATAAAGTACTATGCTTTATTTAGTAACAATTTACAAAATATTGTAGTTTATTTTATACAAAATTTACATACTGAACTATGTGTCAAGAATTTTTATATTGTCTCTATTGTAAAATCTTTCTCTTGATTGGCTATGATCAAAAATATTAGTTTTTAGTTAAAACATTAAGTGAAAATCAGAATAGTAACTTTTGGTACAATGAAATACATAATATGATATCTTACCACACCCATGGGGAACACCAAACACGTAAATAGCCAGTCACGTAACTTCTGCAGGGAACTCTGTCGGCTTAGGATCACTGTATTTGACCCAATGATGTCGTTTAGCACACAAAGTCCAAAGAACCCACATTGTAAGAGCTGAAATTGTTTATAATTAGAATGTAAGTACTTGTGTGTATAACTACTTGATGTTTATTCTCTTTAGTTTTCATTACAATATAAATATGTCAGGGAACTAGCACATTAATTATACCATATGCTTGTAATGAATATGCAACTAATATTAATGCTACAACCTCCCTCCCTCCCTCTCCCTCCCTCTCTCTCTCAATCTCTCCCTCTCCCTCTCTCTCTCTCTACATATATATATATACATATATATATACATATATACATATATATATATACATATATATATATATATACATATATATACATATATACATTATATATACAGGTATATATATATTATATATATATATATATAATTATATATATATATATATATATATATATATATATATATATATATATATATATATATATATATATTATATATATATATATAATAAAAGTAACACATATACTGTACATTCATACACACCCTGTATACACACACTTAACTTTATGTTTATGTTGCCTTAACTTTATGTTTAACTAATTACTGTACAAGAAATTAATATACCAAGCCATGCATGAGCACATTATTCTGCAATACTTCTACAGTGCTTGCAACTTAATATGTACCTTGTGTTATCTATGGGCATTAGAATAATCCATATGTGACCTTTTTTAAGATTTGTTACAATTTACAGTACTGTAACATTCCCCCCACTTCACCTCAAGTGAAAAAGTGCACAATAATCATTGGGTTAAAGCAATTGCATCTTCCATATTTCCATCTAGAATATTTGTTCACTAAAGTCTTAACCATTTCTGACTAAAAACCAACTTTTCAGCACATTTGATTTCCAAACAATGCCAATCTGTTCATCTCTTGGTTAACAACTCATCTGATATATTTTTACATTCATCTTTCAGACCAACTGATAATTGGTCTCGCTAAATCTTTAAAAATTAAAATTAAAATTTTACTTCAGGTATATATTCTGAAGTATTGTTTATTGCATTTATCTTCCTTTTGCATTTTCTATTTTCACATTTTCACCTTTCATTTATGATTGATTGTAGAGAAATCTAAAATTACAGTACTCATTTACCAGCTACAGTATTAAATAAATGTTATTAATTAATTTTTGTCTAGAACAGGAACCTATGTACAGCACTGTATATCTATTCAGTATACTTTAGGCTTGTATCGAAGTCCTCCACGGTCGAACTACTGAGCCTCCCAGGATGCAATCCCACAACATTTGCCTAACTCTCAGTGCCTATTTACTGCTAGGTAAACAGAGGCATTGTATAAAAGGAAATGTGCCAAACCATTTCTATCCCATTGAGGAATCAAACCCAGGATCCCTGATAGTGAGTCTATAATGAAGCAAACTGTACTACAAGACCCTGACAGGGCAAATCAATATTAACACAGATACACTATGTCAGTTACTGTTGATTGTCACAATATTTTAAATTTAACATTATGAAGACAATTGCAACCAAAATCTTTTTAATTAGAACATTTTAAGTGCCTACATATATGAGTGCAAGATGAGTGTAATAAAACATTAAAGGCCTAAGACCAGGTGCTGGAAACAAATACCATCATTATTCACCTCTACTGTAAGACAAACAACAAAATCTATATAAGCAGGCAAATGTAGGTTGAAAAATAATAATTAAACAGAAATACTCTGGACCCAAGTAAGTTGCTGACAGATGAGAAGATAATGAATGTTATTGTTGCTAATTAAAGATAATTACAAATATACAATTTTAGTATCAGTATTACTACCTATATATTATCTACTGCATTACCATTAGTAAACAGTTTAAATTCTGAAATGTACTTTAATTTTATGTTATTATCATACTATTAGTAATGATAGTAATATTATACACATTACATATAGTTTTGCCATCATGCAGTACCTGTACTTTTTTACAATCACTCCTTATTCCTATTTATTTAGTTATTATGCTTTCACAAGTTTGTTTTAACATTGCTGCTGTCCGCATAATGTACCAATATCACCACAATCATATTGTTATTAACTATTGCATGTTAAATAACACTGTTCTTGTAATTTGACCTATAGTTTGCTTACCAACTCTTTACATTATATAAATATAGTTAATAAAATGATCTCATTACTGTACTACTTAAAGTTGTTTACTTGATTACGTTTTGAGTTCACTACTTTATTGCCTCAATAATATCACTCACTACTACTACCCCCATGATTTTACAACCCGTTCTCGCAAATTCGTAAAGTCAATATTGACTTATTAACTACGTGCATAGGTGATATACTAAACATAATAGATACCCTTAAAAAGATTCATAGAAAACACCGACCTAACCTAACCTTGTTAGTATCTTAAGATAAGCATCTTATTGCTTCGTAATTACAATTATTACTTAACCTATACCTATTATAGGTTAGGTAATAATTGTAATTACGAAGCAATAAGATGCTTATCTTAACATACTAAGTAGGTTAGGTAAGGTCGGTGTTTTCTATGAATCTTTTTAAGGGTATCTATTATGTTAAGTATGTCACCTATGCACATATTTAATAAGTCAATATTGACTTATTAAATTTGCGAGAACGGGTTGGATTTTAATACAGTATATGCCGGCGTATAAGCCAACCCCCAAAATTTAGAGGTGTAATTCAGATTTAGGCCTATATTCAGCAGATAAGACGAACCCTCAAAATAAGGCGACACCACTTCCCCTGCCCCACTGTATGGAAGGAATAAACTACAGCATATCATAAATATACTGTAGCTTAACGAATATTTACTGTTTAAGGCAGGTGGTGTTAGTGGTTTTCAGGAGAGGCAGGTGGTGTTAGTGGTTGTCAACGGAGGCAAATAGTGTCAGTGGTTGTCAGGGAAGTCAGGTGGTCAGTGCTTGTTAGGTGGTGTCAGTGGTTGTCACTGGAGGCAGGTGGTGTCACAAATAAAACATTGACATATATACTCTTGTTGTAAAAAAGAAATACATGTGAAGAAAGTGGTTGTCAGGGAAGTCAAGTGGTCAGTGCTTGTCGGGTAGTGTCAGGGAAGGCAGGTAGTGTCAGTGGTTGTCACTGGAGGCAGGTAATCGCATATCTCCTGTGCCAGGTGAGTACGACGGGCTCCATGCTGCTTGGAACTTTTTTCTGAGTAGCTGAATCTAAAAAACAAACAAGAACCTAGGCAGCAGTAGGATGTACCGTATTAAAAAATCCTCCATGGAGTATTCAAAAAAATCGCGGAATTTAGAGATAACACCATCAATAGTGTCCAAGAAATGTGTAAGTACTTCATTCATAATGATGTGCTGCCTGAGATCCTTGCAAAGTACCCAAAATTTGCTTACTGTAAGTAATGCATGCACATGACTAAAGCTGCCGCCCAGTTGGGTGGGTGTGCAGCAAGACTAGTAACTGTGTGACTCACCATAAATGTAAAGTGCCTTGTATAGTGACTGTTGTGAGCCTCTTGTAATGTTACTTGTGACACTTGTGTCACTTGTGACTCCCGTGTCCGGTCCGTCTAATTACCACAAGCTACATAAGCTTCACAAAGCTTCCTGGAAATACGTTAGTAATGAATAAATATGATATGTTAGGTTAGGCTGACCTAACCTAACCTAAACTAACCTAACCTAAACTAACCTAACCTAAACTAACCTAACCTAACCTAACCTAATCTAACCTAATCTAACCTAACCTAATCTAACCTAACTTAACCAAACCAAACCTAACCTAACCTAACCGACGCTTGGATCGTCGACTTGATTTGGCGTCACCAGCTCTTTATTTTCGTCTAATTTCTTTATAAAAAGATACTTTTTTAGATTAAAATAATGTTTTTTCGTGTTGTACATTCAGTACTGTACCAACATTATACAGTAATGAGTAAATATATCATATTTATTCATTACTAACGTATTGCCAGGAAGCTTTGTGAAGCTTGTGTAGCTTGTGGTAGCTTGTGGTAATTAGACGGACCGCCTCCCTTCCCTTCCCAAGAGAACCATGTGTGAACTACCAACCGGGTGGCAGACGGCCAGTTTCCGTCACGAATCTCAATACACTTCTCACCTTTGCTTTCCACAGGGGAAGATGACATAATAACAGAGTCCAGTAACTTTTGCTGGTCTTGTTCGTCCTGGGAGATAGATTGTTGGGTGGTTACAGTACTGATGCATGCATTCATTTTGTCTAGCGCTTCCTCTTGTTTTTTGATGGAATCGTTGGTTTTCAAACGCGTATTTTCCTCATGGAGATGGTTTATTTCATACTGAAGTTTTTGGCTTGCTTGACAGGTTTAACATCCTCGCAGAGAAGAGTTATTTGTTGTTGCAGGTTCACGCGGTTAGTTTGTTCCTCTCATTGAAGGCCCTAAATGATCGTAATTTGGACCTCGAAGACTAGACACAGCTTCTTGAACCACTGATTCTAATGCCAGTTAAAGAATTCCGGTGAGGGACTAGCAGCACGGTTTAAGTGCATGAAGTGGGATGTTAGCGAGGAATTTGCAGATGTTTGTGAGGACACATTTCCCCTGGCTCCGTGATAGAGTAGAGAGGAGAGCAGCGCCGCCTCTGACCCCAGAGGACAAGAAACGATGGCTGTTGGTGTTGTTCTGGATGGGTGCCATGCTTGGAGATTTGGGGTTCTTTTTCCTATGCAAACTTGCTTTTGGGAATTATGGTTGGTTGTGTATGGCTATGAAGAATATATTGTTGAAGAAACTTGCATCTGGCAGCACGGAGGCGGGCAGCAGGCACTGGTACTCCCAGCAGGAAAAGTTTGTTTTGAATTTTGTTTGCGATGAAATGAGGTGACTGATTTGGTAACTGTCAATGTGTTATGACATGCTTGGACTCCGTGTACTTAGCTGCCTGTAGGTGGTGTTCTATATTATCTGGGGGTAGTTGTGGGCCGTAATACAGCTTAGAATGGAGAGCGCAAGCGAGCACGGGTCGACGCATTCACCACACCATCATCTGTTCTATATATTCACAAGAGTATATTATTTTGTTTAATTTTGACAACAATGCTGTTCTGGGGAAAGGATCATACAAACAATTACCCAGTGGAAGAGTTAATACAATACTGAAAACATTAGCACTTATCTGAAATTTAAGCTATTTTAATCAGTCATTGTACAGAACATAAAATGCTGACAATATTAAACAGAATCTCAGAGTAGACTATTGAAGGTAACAATTTCTTTTAAAAGCTTTATTGAATGACAAAGCACTTCAGGCCAAATATCATCTTCTACAGTGCCAACTCTTATATTGGTGTAATTGTAAATGTAAAAATGATATGCATATAAATTTCAAAGGCTTGTATTCTAATTGCATAGAGACATTCTATGATGCACGTGCTCTTATATAATATACGCACATAAATTTCATATAACATGTGAGTACTGTACCTGGGTCATGCATCAGAAAGCTATACAGTATGTTGTACAACATTTAAAGGCATTATAAAATAATTAATAACTTAAAATATAATGTACTAACAACTGTTCAAAATCTGTCTGAAAGATATAACACTATGTGCACAACTAATGTAATAAGGGTCCATGTAACAAATCTGCAAAAGATGCTAATAATCAAGAGAAAATCAATGGGCAGCAAAGATTCCCAAACAAATATACACAGAAAACTTTACAGAATACCTGTCACATATTCATATACAAGTTTTATAATTAACAAGGAATTTACAAAATAATATACAATAATATATCACAAAGCATCCACAAACACTAACTGAAGTACAGTACAGGAATTAACATCCTAGATACAGGACTACTGAGAAACATGACATCCTTACCAAGTTAAGATGTGTCAAATATTTGTATCTTCCACCAATGTTATTTCTATAGCGTTCACTTTTGGTGCCTGCAGGAGGTTCATTATGATATTCATCATAATACAGCCCATACATAAAAAAGATGAATATAACTGCGTGGCTTAACTTGACACCTGTATTCATCTTTGTTACTGCAACTAGTTATATGGTTTTATCACTGTAAAGTAAAATGAGTATTACAATATTGTTATAATATAAATTCAGTGCCACATGAAATACAAATACAGTATCTATTGGGCAAGTTACCCCTAACTGCTCACAGTGTGACCTTTATATGATTAGTATACAGGTCACACCAAAACATAAAAAGATAACCGTTATCAAGAAATGAGATAAATGCTATTTCGAGGAGGGCCCCCTTGATAGCTCCACAAGCAACCCACGTGGCTAGCTGACATACTTAACCACTGTGTGCAAATAAGCAGTGATTGATTGATACAGTCTCTGTTCCTGTTGTTCTGTGGCCATGGTGGCTTCCTCTATGGCACTGTCCCTAGCCTCGTGGCCTTCAGGGTACTTGCCTTTCAGCTGGCCTAGACTCAGTTTCCTGTGTTTTTCCTCCAGTTCAACTGCTGCTCTTATTGATTTACTGGCTGCTAGTTTTTTCTGGTGGTTCAGCCATGGTTCCTGTTTTTCTGGACCATTTCCAAGCATGGGTCCACTGGACCCATGCTTCTGCAGTTTTTATTGCAGCATCAGTGTGGAGGTCTTGGCATTTGTTTTGCAGTTCTTTGTTTCTCTTCAGGCCATGGTTTTTTGTGAGGCCATTTTTTATTTGCTGTGGGTTTCCTCCTTTGCTGGATCTGTTGAGATGTCTGGCTTCTGGTGGATCCATTGTTCCAATTGTTAACTTGAAAGTTAAGTCTCAGAGTTTGATGTTTCCAACACTTCTTCACCTCATTGCAGCCAAAGTAAATGATTAGATTTTTCCCAACCATCAGAAATAAATGTTTTATAACCTAGAAAGGAATAAGATTTTTCTAGAGGCAGCCCTGGTGACTCCCTGAAGCTATCTTGAAGAGATTGGTACATACTAAAGGGTTGAATGAGTTGCATTAGTTCTGTATGACCTATAGGGTACCAGAGTCAGAACCTGGCTTCCCCTCAAAGTCATCAACAATTTCTTTAATATTTTGCCATCCATGTATCTAAAAGCGATTGTAAAGTTGAAAAGCGTAGCACAGGTTCATTGTACAATGGTCGTTATGTGGTCCTCAGGTGACAGTTTTCTATCCATGACCATCCCCTAGATCTCTTTCTTTATCAATGTTCTTCAAACCCCTTTCACGTACTCCAATATAAGACTCCTGAACCCCTTGCACTTCAGGAGTCCATACATCTGGCAGAGCCAACGAAACGAATCGCCGATGACTGGCCAATCCGCGAACAGAGGAATGAACCGAGACAGGCCGTCTGTCAGGACGTAGGACACACCCCCGGACATGAACCTCACGGTTGGCCAAACCCCGAGAATCCAGCAAACGAGCCACTAGAAGGGACCAACCCCAAAGGTCAAACACCTAAGAGAAACCCTGTGGTTCCGGCAAAGAACCGCCAGAGAACAGTCCGAATGGAGCTGAATAGTAGAGCACCGAGTGACCCGAACTCTCCGAAGCGCAAACCAGACAGCCACGAACTCCCGAACCGTGCTGTGAGCCCGACGGACGGACAGATCCCACCATCCCCGGCCGACTTGGTGAGAACTGGTCACAAAGCCCCAGCCGAGAGATGACCCGTCCATGAAAACATCGAGCGAAGGCTCGGGGAGGTGCCAAGGCACGGAACCCCAAAAACCCCAAAGAGGAAGCTGGTGACGCAGCACCAACACAAGATCCCCGGAGGAACGAACCCAATGATTGCAAGAGAGGTGGAAGGGGAGTCTCCGAAGGAACCAAACAGATGCCTAAGCCAAACCCGACCCTGTGGGCAGACCAGCATGTCGAAGTTCAGACTCCCACACAACTGCTCGAGCAACCGCCGAGCAGCCCGGGACCCCCTCATGAAGAGCCCAAGGTGGGACCACAGCCGCAGCAACACTTCTGGAGGGAAAGACAAGGAGCGGCCCAAGAGCCCTAAACAAGACCTAGCCAGGTCCGAACCCAAAACGGAAACAGATGGAACGGCCTCCAGATCACCAGGAAACAAAACCCGGCAATCTGGAAAAAACCACACTCCTGGCAAGCAGACAAGCGGACCGACTGGGAGCCCACACCAGCCAGTCGTCGAGCTAGGCCAGACACCGAATCCCAAGCAGACTCAGACAGTGCACCAAGATCCGGTATAGATGCGTAAATACACCCAGTGCCAATTACAAAATAGGAAAGGCAACAAAAGCGAGATATGATACTGATACGAGAGATGACTAAGCTCTGGGGTGATTTTTGTTGCCCGGTTTTGCATCTTCTCCAGAACAGCTTTGTCTTTCTGGAGAAGAGGTCTCCATGCCTGGATGCAATAATCCAGGTGGAGGGTGCACCAGACTTATACAACTGAACAACTAGAGTACTTTTTTTTCCTTAATGGTAAAGGTAAGCTTGATTATTCCCAAGGTTTGGTTCACATTTTTTACTACCACTCCCACTTGTTGCGCAATTTTAGTGAATGATGGATTCTGACTCCAAGGTCCTTTTCTTCGTATATCTGTTGTAAGGTAGTACGGCAACTGTCAATTTGGTAGTTGTGACATGGATTGTTGTGCCCCACATGTAAGTAAGGTCTTGCATTTATCGAAACTTAAAAATCATTTGGCAGTCATCTGATCATTTGTGGAGTTCATGTAGAATTTCATGTTACAATTTCTCTTTGTAAGGTCTCAATACCACTTTCACTTCCAACTTTACCATAGATCTTAGTGTCATCTGCAAATTTGATGCTGTGGTTTGTAATATTCTATCTATGTTATTGATGTACTCCAGTATATGACAAAAAGAGTTAGCCCCAAAATGGACTCCTGTGGCACCCCATTTAGCACATTTCCCCAGTCAGATTCATTCCCATTTAGCATGACCCTTTGTTTTCTATGTTTTAACCATTGTTTTATCCATACCAGTATTCTCCCATTTATTCCATGTGCCTGTAATTTCCTTGCCAGTCTTTCATGTGGTACCTTGTCAAAAGCTTTAGCAAAGTCCGTGTAAGCTACATCTACCGGAAGTCCTTTGTCTGAAGAGCCGGTTACCATTTACAGACATGTGAGCAGGTTAATAAGGCAGGATCTACTTTTAACAAACCCATGTTGCATTGTTTTTACAAGATTGTTCTCTGTGAGATGTTGTATGATTCCTTCCTTTAGGATTCTCTCCATGAGCTTGCAGATATGTTATGTCCTTGTGATGGTGATTATACCTTTAAATAATGCTCAAATTATGCTGCAATGTACCTGTTGATAACCCTTAAATTTTACTTTAATGTACCTACTAATCTTTGTCAAATTTTCTTACAATGTACAGTACCAGAAAAAAAAAATTAATTTTGCTAGTAATTACCTACTTAAAATTATATATTAGATTAAGTATCTGCCCGTACGCTATGTGTGCTAGCGGCTTTAGAAGAATGTAAAAACATCAATGCTATGTACTCTCAAAAACTCAATGTACCTTCTTGTATATAAATAAATAAATAAAACCTTTAAACATATCTTCAATTTTGCTAGATATTACCTACTTAAACTTATCTGTTAGATTAAGGACCTGCCCAAAATGCTGCGTGCGCTAGTGGCTTTACAGGAATGTAAAACATCAATGCTATGTACTCTCATAAACCCAATGTACCTTCTTGTAAATAAATAAATAAATAAATGTCAAGCTGATCGGACAGTAGTTTTCTGCCGATCTCTCTCTGCTTTTTTTGAAAATAGGGGTAACATTTGCATATTTCTAATCTAGAGAAACTATCCCTTAGTCCAGGGATTTTCTGAAAAGGAGTTTCAGTAGCATGCCAGTTCCTTTATGACTTTGGATTGAAATCCATCCACACCTGGGGATTTTGAGTCTTTTAATTTATTTATTTATTTATTTATTTATTTATTTATTTATTTATATACAGTACTAGTATATGCAAGAAGGTACAGTGGGTTTGTGAGGATACATAGCATGGTGTTAACATTTCTTGTAAAGCCACTAGTACGCGCAGGTAAGGGTAAGTAGGTAAATGCTAGCAAAATTTATAAAGTGATAACAGGTACATTGCAAGAAAAAAAATAAAGATATGAGAGATTAGTAGGTATATTAAAGGACATCAGTAGCTCTGATTGATTGCACTGACAGCTTGATTGGTAATTTAATAAAGATTAATAGTCACAATACAGCATATTGATAGCACATGTAAGAAGACAGCAATGATCACAATGGTAAAGTTGTTTGGATTAGGTACATAAAGATTAGGGGGATTGGGTAGCACTAGACACAGTGCAATTTTAAAGCACAAGGTAGGACACTGAAGATGAAATTAGGTACTTTTTGGTTTTGTTTTTAAATGAGGCAAAATTTGGACAGCTTTTCAATACATTGGGAGTGAGTTCCATAGACTAGGTCCCTTTATTTGCATAGTGTGTTTACAAGATTAAGTTTGACCCTGGGGATATCAGAGATATTTATTTATGGTGTGGTGATAATGGGTCCTATTACATCTGTTCAGGGAAAGTATCAGAGCAGAGTTTGCATTTAAAAACAGGGTTTTGTAAATGTAATTGACACAAGAGAATGTGTGGAGTGACTTTGTTTAGCATGTTAAGGGATTTAAACAAGGGGCTGAGTGTTGTCTGAAAGCAGAGTTTGTTATTATTCTAATAGCAGATTTTTGCTGGGTGATGATGGACTTGAGGTGGTTTGCAGTGGTTGAACCCCATGCACAAATACCATAATTAAGATATGGAAAGATTAGTGCATAATATAGTGAGAGGAGAGCAGAGTTAGGTACATAATATCTGATTTTGGAGAGTATACCAACTGTTTTAGAGACTTTCTTAGTTATGTGTTGTATGTGGGTGCTGAAGTTGAGTCTATTGTCTAGGAATATATGCCAAGGAACTTTCCATGATTTTTATTACTGATGTTAACAATGTCTATCTGAAGCTGAATTGCATTTGTTGATTTGCTACCAAATAAGATATAGTAGGTCTTTTCTATGTTTAGTGTTAGTTTATTGGTAGACATCCAT